CACGTGCTCCTTCACGTGGGTCATGGAGGCTGCACTGACATATACACTGACACCAAGTCTGGGCACTCTGGAAATACGTGAGATGCACGTTTGCACTCTCACTGCTTATGTAAGTAGCTTTCCCTTCAGTCTGAAAGGTGCGAGACAAGAATGGGTGCCAAAGGAGCAAAGGCTTAGGGAAACACACAACCAGAGTCTTGCCATTTTAGTCTCAGACAGATCTCTGCTTGTTGGTAAGTCTCGGGCTATTGAGTTTCCTCACTGCAATGCTGCAGAACAAAGGAATAAACTTTTGTCAAGAGATGGCAAAAGGACACAGGGCAGCAACTTTCCAGTAAGAGTCATTCTTTGAAATCTGTCCTGTGCATTTCTTATGGGAGAACAATCCCTGCAACACAACAAGCCCCGCTATCATCATGCCTCCAGGAATCACATTCCTACAATGCTTTGTGATCCCTACACAGCAAAACTAGATATGTTCAGCTTCACAGTCCTGAAGAGAGCACAGCGAGAGGAAGAGCTGGGAGTATACTGCCAATAACCACAAGCAACACCTTAAAAGAATGGTTGCTGCTGTTACAGGATCTTTATCTCAGTCGACCTCTGCATATTCCTGTTCTGGGAATCTGGCTGCCCTCAGTAAGGTGGGCTGGGCAAGCTAATTCAACAAAAACTGCAGGAATGCCTCACAAGAGAAACACTCATCTGAATGCCAGGATGTGATACAAGCGGGGTAGACATGAAGAAATACAAGAAGTGGCTCTGTGCATTTTTATGATGGAAGGCCATGGCTGACAGTGCTGAGTTAGCCCAAAGCTCAAGAATATCCAAATCCATATACATTCATTCTTGAAATAAACGTGCTTACTTGGGGCTAGATTCCTGCAAGAAACATTTCCTGTTCTCTAAGTAATAAGTAACAGAAATTGAATACAGGTGTGCACTGCAAGCTAGCCCTCTCTTGCCCTTTCTTGTTCAACTCTTTTAGGACCACTAAGTAGCATTTATGTATCTATTCTACAATATGTTCAAAGAGCCATTTTACACCAAATTACCATGTAAATTCACTATCTGTAATGGATATTATGTGTTCATTAAACCTTTTAAAAACTATGTAATTATTTCTACATTTTAATTAGAAATAGACTTACTAACTTATTCTTTGTGTGCAGATAGTTCCTTTGATTTTTATAGTCAAACGGCAGGAAACACTTCACATGAAAATAATTCGCATAACAAAATTTCCCCCACTTGAGGGTTTTAAAACCTCCTCTTGCCAGCCTCTGCTTTGGCTTTATCTCATGCAAAAACATTGGTCTCCCTGACATTTAAAAGCTCTTCTTTAGCACAGCCCTTGTATGTGAGCCCATTTTCTAGGGCTCACTGCTCTGCTAAGAGAATGACAAAAGATAGAAAGCTTTTAACATTTAAAAAGAAAGGCATGGTGCAAAATATCCTGGAACACTGCTTTCTATAATACTTTTTCTTTCCTATCATCTTAACATTTATATTTTTAAATGACCAAAATCATATTGGTATCAAGCCAGTTTTGCAGTCCTGGTGCTCGAGGGACATCGCCAAAGACTCCCACCATTTAGCACATGCAGCAGCACCTCTCCCCTCAAATTCAGGATTTTTTTTTTTTTTTTTTTTTTTTTACATCAGTATTCTCCAACTAGACACAGTCTGCCACTTTGTGTTGCTTACTGCTATGGCCATACTGAGATAAGGTAGCTCTCACCAGGTTTCCAAATGGTACCCACTGTAATTTTTATTAAGCCCTTAGGCTGCGTATTTCAGGGCTTGTATCCAAAAGGAATTTATGCCCTGGCTTACTCTATTGCATCATCTTCTCTGCATTTTTTCCTGAGGGAAGCTTTCCAAGCTGCTGTTAAAGACAGCATTAATCTGGACATTTTCATGTGGTCTAGCACTTGCTGTGTCCCTACTATAATATCTACAGAGTTATTATTTTTGCCATGACATTTAGACACTTTGTGTAGAAGCTAGAAGAATTTGAGGCCACGTTAAATGTCAAGCCATGAAAACAGAGACCATTCTATGCCAGCCTTTCCCTATATGAATAGTAAAGATAAACTGGAAAGGGTTGGGAAGTGCAGGAGAACATGTAACTTTATTTCTTATGTCTAAAAATCTCCAAGATCCCTCAAAAGCATGCTTTATAGGGTGGAAGAACTCTGAGATAGTACAATAAATCTGCAAAGTGATAACCATAGAAACGGCCAACCCTGCTGCTATCCTGTTAGCGCATATGTGTCAGAGAGTCACCAAGCGATTAGCAGTGCAGGTGTTTGAACAGCTGAATGGCACTGAAAGGCAAAGACTCATTCTCGTCCTCTAGGTGCTCGAACACTCGCACTCATTGGCATGGTCATTTCTGTGACTCAGAAGGGAGCGATCTGGCTGCCAAATCTAGACTGAGAATGGGAATTGGCATGTTTAAGCTTACTGCTTAAAGCTTTAAGAGCTTTAAATATTAACTTGGTTCAACTTGCATCACACCCTTCTAGTTATTGCTGCAGAAATTTTAATGCGTTTCCAGCAGCAAGTTGGCTCAAGATTTTGTCACATTTTTCTCAGCAACCCATAGGCCATGAGTCAGTGTCTGGAAGCAACAGTCATCTGACCACACCAGGTACACAATTCATCCATTCCTCACCAAGAAAAAATTACTATAGATCTGAGTGAAAAGTCTGCTTCTGCTTTTTATCTAAATAGTCAGTACTTGTGGGTCACATCAACAAATCTATTAATTAGACTACTAAGCTTTGTGCTCCTGCTGAGCCAGAGGTTGGACCAGATGACCTGCAGAGGTCACTTCCAAACAGAATTATTTTATGATTCTGTGATAAGTTCACTATTCCTGAAAGACAGAAACAGTGGCTACAGGGAAGCGCTTCTGATACTGTGTCTTTTACAGCACAATAATAGATACCGCCTAACTTGACAGTCACAATTTTTTGCTAAAGCTTTAGATCCCAACATTTATAGAGTTCCTGCAAGCACTCCAGCCAGCCATCCCTTGATATTGGCACACGTAAAGGTGAGACCCTGGTTCCTTCTGCACTGAGATTGGGTGCATAAATCAAAGAACACCTATGATTTTTCTGACAGCTTGCCAGAGGTGAAATCAACTCCGAATGCAAACTTTGCTATTTTAAATTTAGACAACTAACAGTAAATTATAGCCGGGAAGGTTAGCTACTCTGAAACAAAACACCATAAATTGTTCCTCTAGATTACACAATGGAAGTAAAGTTTGTGCTAACATAACAAAAAAGGCCACGTTTCTGTTGAAAATCCAGAAACTTCTTCCCATTATGAGCTATATTCTCCAGTATTTTCCCATGTCTTAAGAACTAGACCTGCTCACGCAGGTTCTCTGATGCTCCTCCACCGAAGAGGAACATTAGAGTACAGACTTAGATAGTTTAACTGACTCCTCAAGATGTATTTTCTCAGGCTGACATTCAGGTAAAAAAGCTTTCTTACCTGAAAAACTAAAGTCACTGTTGAATATACACAAGTAAGTAATAAACTGTGAAAAAAAAGCAAGCTTAGTATGCTGAATGCCTGCAGAAACAGCCGTAAACGTTTTATGATGTGTAAAAGTCTTCACATTCTGTCTATCCCAAAGTCTCCAGGGAACCTTGCGCACGGCTCAGCGAGAGCAGGGGGCATCTCAGAGCACTGCTCCCGTGCCTATGCTTTCCAGTTCTGGGGGAAGTCCTGCTTTGGTCTTTGCGGTCCTGTCTCGCTTGCACAAACCCCAGTGATGCGATATTCCCTGCAACACAGCATCACCAGAGAAAGTAGAAGAACTGTGCTTTGCCCTTGGATGCAGGTGTGGTCATGCTCTGACTCTTGGTGACTGCCCTTAACAGCTTCCGTGCTGCCTATAGAAAGAAATTTAGTCTGGACACTAAAGAGGTCATTCATTGGGGCAAGAAATGAAAACAGAGCACAGGTATGTTGCAAGACTGTTTGTAGAAAAGTGCTTCTTTTTAGATCTCCTTAAGCTGATTCTTCTAATAAAAAAAACAAAAAACAAAAAACAAACAAAAGAAAAACAACAAATCCACACTATTTACTCTCTGATTACAATATTTAACATGGTGAGGTATCAGATTTCAGCTACTGATGTGGTAACAGAATGCTAATACTAATGGTTCTGAAATGGTTCTGAGAGTGGCTGCAAGTTTTCTCAGGAAAACCTGACTTTGCCATCTTGTTGGCTGTGATTTCCTTTTTCAATTCACCTTGTGTTGACTCTAATGATGCCAATGGTGTGTTAGCGTGGGTGCGCACAAAAATGCATTTCTAGTACATAACACATAAGAGCCTCTAGCAGCTCTGGAAATACAGAGCTGAAAGTCTTTATTTACAGATATTTCAGACTGTATTTTACAGAAAATGGCTAGGACAGACTGGCTTCATTAGCACAAACAGCAAAACCTGCTTTTCTCTCTTTAATGGCTTTAAAAAATTATTTTAATTTTCAATACACACTGTCAATGCATGCACAGTGGATTTCCCATATTATTTTTTCATTTTCTGATATTTGTGCTCAACCACTGTGCCTATGTGCCACACTTTGCCATATTTACTTCCCATCTAAGTATGGGACATAAAATTTAATATAAGTGAAACATTTTGTTTTCATCCCCGAACTCTACCAGTTCTTCTCCTATGCATATCTTGCTTCAAGGCTTGGACCGTGATTTCACTGGATTTTACAGGACAATACTGCAGGAGGCAGTAAAGCCTTCACGTGTACTTTTTCCTTTCCTCAAAACTTCCCCAGGTGTGTTGCAGACTGTACATGTGGGCCAAAGTAGCACATGAGGCCCCTGACAATAACCTGCTGCACACAGCAGGGTCCACAGCTCCTTTTTTTGTTGCAGAGAGCTAACAACATGATGCTCAAACGCTAATAGCCAGATGTAACCACCACAAATATTAACGAAGGTGTCACTTACAAGTTCTTCACATCAATGATTCCTCGAAAGGCCTTTCTAGGGATTCCTTTTATCTGGTTTTCACTCAGGTCTCTGAATAAGGGAAGAGAGAAAAAAAATACATTGTATTAACAAAGAGAACACATATCTCAAATTTGCATGAGATAAAGGAACATACTCATGCTTGGAAAAGTGGATGCTTCTGGATTTGTTACACCACACTATGTTTTCAATTTTCTTTATCTCCTCTCGAGGTCTGTGGCATGAACTGAAATGACTCTCCAACAAAACCCACCAGAATTCATGATGCAAATGACAGAACTTCCAGAAAACATCACTCAAATGTGGTCATGACACTGGCACAATAGCACAATTCACTGTCAGAGTACCTGCAGCCAAATATTATGCCTTGAAATTGCAAACCTGTAGTGTAAATGTAATTTTCTCACCATGCTCCGGTTTGTTTACCAACTGCAAAAATACTTGGCTACCCCTGCTCAGATAACAGCCCCTTATTTGAAATTAATATTCAGGAAAAACATGACAATCATTCTCTTGTGAGTTTTGTAAGTTTACAGTGAAAAGATCTTGATCCATTGCCTTTAAAAAAATCACTGCATTGTGTATCAATGGGAAAAGCAGAATTTTTAACCTTGCTTTAAAAAAACAAAACAAAACAAAAAACAAAAATATGAACAGCAATTCCACATGTCTTTCTAGTACTTAAAACATTACAAAATGTTTCAATTTAAACCATTACATCTGCACTGTGAGTGCAGGTAGAGCAATGAGCACCGCAGGTTATAGTTTTCTGTTACACCACCTGCATTCAGTTGCTTTTTCCTTTGACGCACTATAAATACTTCTACTGGAATTTTCCGAGCTCGCAACCCTCTATCAGTACCAATGGAGGGCATCAGGAATGGGAGAGATACAGAAACATAATCAGAAAGTTGGGATGTTTTCAGGCTAAGGAAAAACAGCACTCACAATGATTTGTTTGCTGGCACCCTGTCAGAATGGAAAAAAGGGAGTAATTTCACTCCAGTTTAGGGTACAAACTGAGGGGAAGAGTGTAAGAAGATGCAAGTAAGAGAGACAAATGGAAAAGAAAAATGTAAGAAATAAGCAAATAGAGGAAATGAAAGGCACAGGGATGGCTGGAGAAAAGGACAAAGAAAGGTGATACCACAGTGCAGGGCATTACACCGTGCATCATTTGGTGTGACTGTGTCCCTATGTTATGTAAGTCCAAGACTTTGCCCCATTTTCAGAAAGAAACTCTGGCTTTCTAATGACTATTAAGACAAAATGGCAGTCATATGTACTCACCACCCGATACTCTTTTCTGTAAGTACATTTTGTGTTGCAGCAAGCCTCCTTTCTAGTCTCCACCAAATTGGCTTTATCAAATGAGAGGCCAGAAATCAGAGCCTGTCACAAAAGCCCACACTGACATTGGAGGTCAAGACAAGTCACGCAGGGCTTTCTTCTGCTTTCCATCAGGCAGATAGAAAAAAAAAAAGGGACTATGTCCTTGTCATGAGACTAATTCAATTTATACCAGTCATGCAGTCTACACCAGATTCTCAGAGTAGCCACAATGGTCCATTCAGACCATCACAAACAAAAATGTGCTGCTGGCTACAAGTCTCTTTTTCAAGCCAGATTAAAATTCTTTGTGACCTTCACAATTTGTTTAACACTGATCCACACCCTGACCCTTCATTCACCTCCCCTTTCTTTAGCCAGCAAGAAAATATTAGTTCTTTAAGGACAGACCTTCAACCCAGACAAATGATCAGGCAACCTGGACAGAGAAGAGAAGAAAGTAAAGTGTATTTCAGACCTATAAGAAGGAAGTTTTACACTGAAGATCGATTTCATGACTGGGAGTCACTTTGGTGTGACAGTGAGGCACAGCAGAGCTACAGCCAATGGTAAAAGCATGACAAAATGGCTTACGAAGGCAAAAATTAGCAAGATCTGAAAGCAAGAGACACGTAAAGGAGAACAAAGAGGGCTTGAAAAAGAACAGTGTGATCAAATAAAACCTTACTAAGCCCACCAACACCTCAAGTTGCATTTGTCTGGCATTTTATTGGGCATTATTTCAAATCAGGTTTTAAAATAAATTAGGTTTTCAAGTATTTTTTCCTAATATTATCGTGGTCTAAAAGGGCTAATTTATATTTTTGCTTTCTGCTTTGTCTTTATGCTCAGCTCTCACTTGCAGACAGGCAAAACCAGCAGACTGTAGGAAATTCATTCATTTTCTATGACAATCTTCTTGTAAATTGTATCACTTTTATTTTCCATTTAGGCACTCTCCTCTAGCTAACAATACTACCTCTCTAAATCTCCAGGATCATGGACTGATTTCATAAATAGCTCTAGTGGTCTGATGAACTGACAGCCTGCATGGCATTAGTGACGCAGCATGGCAGAAAACTCACAAATGCATGTTTCATTTTCCGTAACTGCCTTCTCACAATTATAATCATCCCTGTTTGAGACGGTTAGCAATAGTGTTCATCTCTGTTTCCTAACACTGTTCCAAACTTCTGTTAAGCATCCTTCATAAGCAAGGAAACACCAACCAAGCTTCAGCCTGTGCCCTTCACAAAATTTGCTCTGAGGAAGCAGAAGGCTGTAACAAGCAACTTGTCTACATAGTTTATCTTAAAGTTTCAGCTTTTCATTCCCTACTTCACATAACAGACATAATGGGAACCTCTCACTGAGGGTATGTAAAATAAATATTAGTTATTAATAGTAACTGCAGAAAAACAAATAAACTAATGTGAGGCCAAAACAAAACAAACCCTTAAAAAAAAAAAAAAAAAACAAAAAACAGACAGAAAAAAAGAATTGTGGTATTCAAGAAAAAATAAACAACGAATCAGAAGAAAAATAAATTGTGATCATTAATACATTTCCTATTTCTTAGACTGAAATTTCAAGCCACCTATTTCTGTAATGGAAGACAAGTCCAATGCCTGGGTGCATGATGTATCCTAAGGAGGAAATCTGAAAAATTCCAGCTTTAGAGAAACATATACTTCCAAAAATCCTCATCCTAATAGACAATGTCAGAGAGCTGACTAAAAACACGTCACTGAAGGACAAACTAAAACGTTAGTATGTCAGCAGCACCCTCCTTCACAACGGCTCCTCTGTACAGAAAGCAGCAAGCCCAACAACAATGGAAACACGTTCAATTGCATCCTGATAAAATAGACGTGTTGAGCTAAACAAATGTGCTTAGATGAAATTATTCTTCCTGTTATTTTGATAAATACAGGCAACTTTCATGCATTTCAATCAGCCATACAGCTTTGAGGCCGTGCAAATGGCCCAAAGATTCTGCAACCAGCCACAACCTCAATAAAGTGCAGTCTTTTTTGGGAAGTGTCCCCCTGCGCCTCCTTCACATAGGGGTCCTGTCCGATGGAAACACACCTGAAAAGCCCTTGGCAGCAGATCACAGAGGAGCCAACGCAGGTGCAGAGCACAGCAGGCAATGGTACTGGCTGTGTTCGACCAACAGCTTCCACAGCCAGCAGCGTGCAGTGACCACCCCTAAGGAGACAGCTCTCTCATTTCAGAGATGGGGAAACAGAGCCACAGAGATATTAAAGAGCTTTGACTTCAAGTTTGCATAGATCTGAGATGCAGGAGCTAACAAAATCCAGCTGTGGCTTACCTGCCTTCACAGCACAGCAGACCTCGCGTTAGTCTAACCCAGATTCAAACAAGAGTTGGCACAAGTCAATAGATTTTTTTTTTTTTTTCAGTTTTTATTTTAATTTAACTAAAATGTTTTGGACACAGATTAACTCCCTCCGCAAGTCTAATATTATTTTCCTGATCTTCAAATGTGAATTACAAGAGCCTTACTGATAAAAGGATTGGAAATTAAAAAAAAAAGACATCCCAAACTGCTGACGTTTTCTAAGTGCCTCTGCAGTCGTGGTTATAATGCTGGCTTTAGCTTCCTGTTTCAACCCTGGTTATTGCATCCTAAGTGAAATTTCAACTATCTAACACAGCAATAAAATACATTAAGACTCTTTTTTTATTTTGCCAGTGACAGAATATAAATCAGTTAATTGGAACACAGACCCCATGAACATTCATAAAATAAGAGTCTTCATTTGAACTACAGATCTAAAGCATTAAAATAGCTACTTTAATATAACTTACAAAGTTACAGTGGTACTGACAGTAAGACATATTATATGAAAAATAAAAAATCAACACTGATAGCATTATGCTTACGTTGCCTCCCTTTCCAAAAAACAAACAAAAAAATCCTTTGAGCATTTACCAGTTATTTTCCAGGTCTTTTTTTGCATACAGATTCTAAAATTTAAAAATATTATTTTTAAACAAAGAACTGCCTGAAAAGCAGTGTGATTAAGAAGTATTTATTGTGGTTGAACACAACTCTTATTATTTCTCCCACTCAAATGGACTAAAATGGAGATCACCATTAAGCATCACCCAATAAAGAACTAGACTTGCCTTTAATGTGTAACAAGTTAACGCAAAGACTTGAAGAACTAGACAACAAGAACAAACATTTCACGGCCAAACATGTATCTTTCCCAGTATGTTACTGGATGTTGATCCCATAATAAAACTGTAAACTCCTAGAGTTAACCATTAACACATGAAACCAATATTCAGCTAAAATGAAGAAAAAATCCAGCATAACTACCCTGATTCCTTCGAGTACCTTCTAGCTTATCCACCGTTCAACTGCTTCTTGGAATAAGAAAGGAGAGCTCACATACAACTCTCTCTGTAGCAGCTGATACAAAACCTCAAGACAATCACTGGTTGATTCAACTGTATATGGGGCTTGAGAGCGCAAAATAACCGTTTCCCAACATCTCTTTCTGAGACAATAATACTGGAAAGTTTATGTTGTTTGCTTGCTTTGCAAAATAAAACTAATGGAAAGGTATGGATGCTGATTTTAAGAAAGTGTCAGCTGCCACCAGTGCTAAGAAATAAGTACTTTGTCTGCTACCTTCACTCCAGCTACAGAATGTGAAGCTGAGAAAAATGAGAATTAGTTAATCCAT